TGGACATGTTTTACATATATATATAGGGTTTTTAGTTATTACTCCAAGAAACCTTCAAGACTATGTTTTCCGTGTGCATAAGTCTCTTTCCATTGCTTTTGTTTCCCCATGATTTAGGGTATACGAGGCCATGCAGACCATTTGTAAGTAATTTCAGCTACTTTACCCTCTATTCCTTGTTGAACCCTGTTAATCTTCTTGTGGTAGATGGACTCCTCCTCAGACAGGTTGCCAACCTTCCTGAACACTGGAGACACAGAGAAGTTGATAAAGTAAATAAAAGTAAATATGTTAAAGGGTTGTAAAATTACATTATTCTTTTTCTTGAGTTCTGGATTTACGTTTCAGTGAAAGAGCACTGCTTTGTTCTTGTGTAAGTCAGTGTAAGTCAATAATACTTAAACCATTCATTTTAAAAATGCAAATAATCATGGAGGATGGTTCTGAAAGCAGAGGAGTGGATACAGAAATGATTATCATCATTAGTACTTCAGTGTTAACAGGACATAGGAAGTATTTAACGGGGTAAACACAGGAAGTTGAAATTCAAGCCCAGGCAACAAAACACTTAAAGTTTTCATTAGCTAACAAAGATAACCAAAACACTGATGAATGATGGTTTAGCCAGCTGGCCAGCTCCTACTCTCCCAAAATATTTCCCAAGAGAGCAACAACAATTTAGTGAGTGTGCGTTTGAGAAGTGTGCAAGAGAGTGCATGAATAATGTGTGTTTGCAGACCTTTTCAGCATCCTAAGCCCTGACTCAGGGGGTTAATGAATGTCCGTTCCATGGTGTGTTTGCATATATAAATGCTTCCAGATGCACATATCACCTGCTCTACTGTATTAGCTGCTGTAACAGTGATGCTGAAAATGGCTTATGGATTTGCTAAATTCTAAGCATAAGTATAAATACATAAGGAATATTCTTATAGACTGTGTATAAATCAACCACTAGATCTCTTCACATGCATTATCAGCAGTATTTGATTTTTTTTTATGTTTTAGATGTGATGCCTTGGCAAAAACTATTTCATTCAAAACAATCCTCTTTTTCACATTCGTTACTTAAGATATATTTGCTGAATAATTGTTTTAATAAAATGGCTGTTCAGCAGGGAACAGAAAATCAAAAGTTATTGTTTTCTGTTTTTCCATGTGCACATGCACAGTTTGGGAATTGCAGCCAAGTGAAATATCTTTTCTGTTTATACTTAGGTTTCCAGGGCTTTGGTGTTGTACAGCTGTGCTGGAAGTTGACACAAACATAAACTAGAGGCTTTCTTGCGATGGGATCACACCAGCCATGATTAAAAATTGGGCCAAGGGCGTACGGCAAACGTAAGCCTTCTTATTTTAACCAAACTATGATATATTTTCTCCTCAAACAATCATCAAAATGGTCGATAAGTTTAAAATGACTGACATCTACCTGGCTGTCATCCACAGCTCTCCTCTTCTCTTCCCTGCGAAGGTCCCCCCCCCCATCCAAACAGCATGTCCACATGTTTCCAGCATGTACTAGGTGAATTCATATATATCATTCTTCATACTTCTGTACCTGAATACAAGCTTGTTCATGTTATGTGGGATTTTACATCATTCTCACCCAACCCCGTTTCCTCGCTACTCCTGAGATCCCCGAACGGTAGTAAAAGATGAAGATTTACGACTTTCAAACCCAACAAAATGTGATGTTAATGTGAAAAGCATCTGTTGGTGCAGAGCAGGTAAAACATGGCACACGAGGCCCATTCATTTGATCTATGGGAGTTAAATAGGCTGTGTTTTATTAAGACACCCACATACATAGAAAAGTATGATTTTTTTCCCCATGACAAGCCTACTTCTTGCTCTTTTTAATGCATAGTTTAAGCATTAATCAGTAGGATAACCTAATTAATGTGTAAGACTACTTCTGAACTTGGAGATTTGCGTCTCTTTGTGAGAGTCATAATATAAAGGGTGTTTTGGGATTTGAGACTTTTACCCACCAAGCGACGCCAGCACTGCCACAACAATGATGAGGAATGCAACAAATCCATAGAGGACTTTGATAGCCAGCTGGAGGGAGTGGCTCTGCTGGCACCTCATACAGCCACCTCTGCTCCGACCTGGAGGGACGTTCAAAGAACACACACATATAAATACAAACAAACAAACATGTACACACACATGGCCAATGTGTACACAGTATGTCATTGGTAAAATAAAAAACATCATGCAAATTACATTATTTGTAAGACTTGTGTGTGTGTGTGTGTGTGTGTGTGTGTGTGTGTGTGTGTGTGTGT